GAATTCTGGGAAGTGGAAGACTGAGAGAGTAAGATGCTGCCAGCTGCTGTGATGAGAAGCAACATGTTAAGATACCAGTAAGGCACAAGCCACGTGGCAACTTATAGATTAATAGAAATGGATTGATTTAAGATATAAGAATAAGCCGGGCGGTGGTGGCACATGCCTTTAATCCCAGCACTCGGGAGGCAGAGCCAGGCGGATCTCTGTGAGTTCGAGGCCAGCCTGGGCTACCAAGTGAGCTCCAGGAAAGGCACAAAGCTACGCAGAGAAACCCTGTCTCGAAAAACAAAAACAAACAAACAAACAAACAAACAAAAAAAAAAGATATAAGAATAGTTAGCAAGAAGCCTGCCATGGCCATACAGTTTATAAGTAATATAAGTCTCTGTGTATTTACTTGGTTGGGTCTGAGTGGCTGTGGGACTGGCGGGTGAGAGAGATTTGTCCTGACTGTGGGCCAGGCAGGACCAGAAAAACTCTAGCTACACTGGACTTGCTAAAAGCTGATGTGGACCAGTCCAGCCAATGTGATTGTTCTCTGTCTCTACAGCTGGGTCAGATAGCCACATGCTTCTGACAGATGCCCCATTGCCTAGTCTTTAACTAAGCCTTTTATCCTTTTTGGGTACCCTGACAACAATGCCCCAATGTCAGCTCAAAGAAGTTTTAGAGAAGAATACATCGTCCCATGTTCCCTGCCCAGAATAGGCTGAAATGCTAGGTCAAAAAGGAAACACCCTGGTATAGGGAACAAAATGGCTAACTATAATGCCCATTGACATACCAGGAAAATAGGTTCAGAGTTGTCAATTGATAAATTTATTAACTAGAATGCTTCTGCAATAAGATAAGACACTTGATCTTCTTTGTGAAGAGCCAAAGAGGTATTATATAGCCTTAAAAATTATTATTCAAGGTTATAATCTCATTGTACTCAAAGATCAGAACTACAGGGTCTTAAGAATGGCAATAGATACAGATGTTGTTGCCCTAGAAAAATTTGTTAACTAATGGTTCTTTGGTCCCAATACTCTTAAACCCCTGGGCAGATAGAATTCATGACTGAGTCCTGTCATTGGTACTTGTGAAGTCGGGAATGTGGGGGGGGGGCCCAAAACAGCTTGACCACACAGATGCCATGACAAGCTTAGAGGCCCAGACACAGCTTCTGGCAGGCAACACCTGGACTCAGAAGAAGCAATACCTGACAATCTAAACATCCCCTGTACTCCTAGACAAATGACAACCAATCAGGGTCCTGAACCCTGGAAATCTCCTCACCCCAACCTCTGTTGTGATTAAAAACCCCACCCTACCTAGGATCAGGGCTCGCTTCTCTCACCGCTGCATTGGACAGAGAGGCCAAGCTCCAAGCTTGAATATAAAGGCTCTTTGCTTTTACATATGTGATTCAACCTCTGTGGTGGTCTTTTGTGTGTCCCCATGATTTGTGCATAATACTTCCATATCTTAAAGGTATAGCAGCTCCAATTATAGGAAGGAGGTTTTAGAAATATGAGAAAAAAAAGATATTTTGGCAAATGATCATCAATGATGAAAGGCCCAAAATAAAAATTAAACTAAATAGGATTGAGATGAAAAGATTATTAGATTCTGGTGCTGATATATCTATAATTTCACAAGAATTCTGGAATCCCAACTGGCCTTTAAAAGAAGTCTCCACTCAATTTATAGGCATTAGAACCTTATCTCAGATAAAACAGAATGTAGAGTGGATTAAATGTATAGGGCTTGAATGACAGATAAGGATGTTAAAGCCTTATGTAGCTGATATAGCCATGAATTTATGGGGGAGAGATTTGTTACAAATTTATATTACTACAATTTCAGAAACTGTTTATAAAATGATGTTAAAAATGGGGTATTTTTCTGGAAAAGGTACCAAAAAAAATTGTCAAGGAAATTCACAGGCATTACAGGCTGTCAAACAGCAGGATAAAATAGGAATTGGCTATCCAAATTTAGAGCAAGGGCCAGGGCTGGCAATGCAACTGCTCTGCCTTTAAAATGGCTAACTAATAAGCCTGCATGGATGGAGCAATGGCCCTTAACTAAAGAAAAATTACAGGAGCTTGAACAATTAGTAAAAGAACAGTTAGATGCTAAGCACGGAGAGGAAACCACTAGTCCACTAGTCCTTGGAATTCTCCTATATTTGTAATAATGAAGAAATCTGGAAAACGAGAATGTTGACTGATTTAAGAATGGTTCATAAGATAATTCAACCATGGGATCTTTACATCCTGGAATTCCTTTACCTTTTTTATTACCTAAAGATTGGCTTATTATAGTTATTGATTTACAAGATTGCTTCTTTACTATTCCTTTATAAAAACAGTATAGAGAAAATTTTGCTTTTACCATTCCTACTTATAATAATGCTCAACCAGCAAAAATGATATCATTGGAATGTTCTTTCCCATTGGAATGTTAAATAGCCCAACTTTATGTCAATATTTTGTACATCAACCACTGGAAATGGTGTGTAAACAATTTCTCAATCAATTATTTATCATTATATGGATGATATTTTATTGGCTGCTTCTGATACAGATACCTTAGAAAAAATGTTTGATGTGGCACAGAAATTTTACCCTTTTGGGGATTACAAATTTCTCCTGAAAAAATGCAAAAAGGAGATTCTCTTAGTTATTTAGGATTTAAACTAAGTAAACAAAATTCAGCTGCAAAAGGTACAGATTAGCAGAGATCAATTATTGATTTTCAAAACTTATTGGGTGATATTAATTGGTTGCATCCTACATTGGATTGTCTGCTCAAGAATAAAGTAGCTGGGTGGTGGTGGTACACGTCTGTAATCCCAGCACTTGGGAGGCAGAGGCAGGTGGATCTCTGTGAGTTAGAGGCCAGCCTGGTCTACAGAGCTAGTCTAGGACAGTCTCCAAAGCTACAGAGAAACCCTGTCTTGAAAAACAAAACAAAACAAACAAACAAACAAAAGGAATAAAGTAATTTGTTTCAAATTTTGCAAGGTGACTCAGACTTAAATAGTCCAAGACAATTAACAGCTGAGGCTAAAAGGGAATTAGCCCAAGTAGAACAAAAATTACAAAATGTCTCCAGGCGGTGGTGGTGCATGCCTTTAATCCCAGCACTCCAGAGGCAGAGGGAGGTGGATCTCTGTGGGTTCAAGGCCAGCCTGGTCTACAGAGCAAGTTCCAGGACAGGCTCCAAAGCTACACAGAGAAACCCTGTTTTGAAAAACAAAATAACATAAAACAAAAACAACAATATACCTATGTGGATTGATTAGATCTCACAACTAAATGTATTTTAATAATTGTACCTTCTAGTCATTCCCCTACTGGACTCATTATGCAGAGGGAGATAATATTTTGGAATGGATTTTCCTAGCTCACAGAGTAAAAAGTTAATGATCTAAATAGAAAAAGTTTCTAAATTAGTCATAAAGGGAAGAATAAGACTTCGTCAGTTGTCAGGAATGGATCCAGCTGAGATTGTAGTACCTTATACTAATGCTGACATTGTACAATTGTTGGTGATTAATAATGATTGGCAAAGAGCTTGTAGTAATTTCTTAGGGGAAATTAACAACAAATATCCAAAAAGTAAGTGATTTCAATTTATAAAAAGAACTGAGTAGATTTTAAACCCCTTGGTGAAAAGACCACCTATTTCTAGGGCTCTTACATTTTATACTGGTGCAAATAAATTAGGAATGGCTGGTTATAAAGCAGGAAACATCAGTAAAGTACTTCAAAGTCCATATGCCTCAGTTCAAAAATCAGAGTTATATACCATTCCAATAGTTTTATTAGACTTTAATGAATCTCTCAATATAATTACTGATTCTCAATATGCAGAAAGGGTTATATTACATACAAAAACTGCTGAACTTATTCCTGATAATTCAGAATTAATTTTATTATTTGTACAATTACAACAGGCAATCCAAGAAAGGACTTGCCACTTTATATTACCTATATTAAACCTCATACTGGGTTGCCTGGACCATTAGCAAAAGGAAAGAAATTGATCAATTACTGATAGGAAATATGTTGGAAGCCTCAGAATTTCATAAGAAACATCATGTTAATAGTAGGGGCTTAAAGAAAAAATTTTCCATTACTTGGCAACATGCTATGGAAATTATAAAAACTGTCCTGTTTGTTCCTTGTATAATCAAGTTTCTTTACCTGCAGGAACTAATCCTGAAGGTTCACAAAGAAATGAAATTTGACAAGTGGATATATTTCATATGGCAGAATTAGGAAAATTAAAATATATTCATCATACTATTGATACATACTCTGGATTTCTTTTCTTTTTCCTTTTTTCCAAGCCAAACTGTATCCAGCTTTATTAAAGATACTTTCCATAAACAATCATGGTTTTTCAGGCAGGACATGGGCAGACAATCATTAACAGTATACAAGAACTTCCAAACTCCCTTCTTGTATAGACTACCAAAATCAGAAAGCCACTATAAAACCCGATGAGTCTTCATTCGATGCTTTGAAAAGGGGGAGAGCTTAGAGTGAGGGCTGACAGTTCACATTGAGGATGTTGTTTAACAACTTTTCACAAGCCGACCCTGACTTTCAGGAAACCAAACAAACACGGCAGAATTATCAATGTGAAGATCCACAATCTTTTATAAAAGGAACCGCTGCTCTTTTGAGGACACAATGATACCACTGCAAAGTCCAGATTGCTTGATAGATCGGCAAAACCAATTTTGGGGGTCGGGTTCCAACAGGTTTTGAAGGAAGTTAAGTCTATGTTGATGGTACAGGGGAGGAAGACACAGAAATGAATTTAGAGTTTCCCACACTAGGCCATGGTGGTCACATATGTCAACACCAGGACGTCTCCCCTGAGAGCCAAGAGGAGTCTTTCAATATTAGCAGGGAAAGATGTTTTCCAACATCAGCCATCACCAATTCAGCTTGGGAGACATTTTGTTAGTGACACATGTTCCTCCCACCCCCCCCCCAAAAAAAAATGAAGTGTTCTGTGTGCTAACTACATAGCTTAAGAAAAAAAAAAAGTAAAAAAAATTCTGCATTTTTGTAAAAATTGATAAAAAATAGTATTTCAAACTGTACAGTCACCAGAAGTACACAGTTATCAAAAATGCACACATTTCACTTGGCATCTCCAGCACCTTCAGCTTTTTGTGCCTGGTCTGTTTTGGCATCTCCGTTCTCTGCCGAATTATTCACATCCTTCCCGGCATCGGCTTTCCCCTTCTTCCCTTTGGGGACCTTCTCTCCCTTCTTTGCAGGGGCCTTTTTAGGCTTGGGCTCTGGAGCAGACAACCTTGCAGATCTTCTCTGTGGCTCGTCCGTCATCCTGGCTTTCTCTCCTTTAGTATCCCCTTCAGGTTTCTTTTGGGCAGGGTGGCGGCGGGGGACGTCGGTGCTGAACGCGGGGATGCAGCGGTGCGCGGCTTTGGTCTGTCTGGGGGTCGTTCTCGCTGCTTCTTCACACTGCTCCACATACTCTGGATTTCAATGGGCATCTGCCTTAAGTTCTAAAAAGCCTGATTACAAGTTTATTAAAAATAATGGCTGTAATGGGCTTACTGATACAAATTAAAACTGACAATGCCCCAGGTTATATTGAAAGACCCCCGCTCCATTATGAGGACATGGGGCTTTGGGCCAATGAAATGCTCCCCCCCCCCAATAACTTAGCCTAAGAAACGCCATTCTGAAGGAATCAGAAAAACAGGAGTTCACAGCCGTAGCCAGCCACCCAGCCTTGACAGAGATAACTATGGCCAGCCATCCAGCCTTGAGAGAGATAACTGTGGTCGGCGGCCTTGGGAGAAAAACAGTTGAGTCGATTTAGGATATTTTATGGCTGGCCCCCTGGCCTTGAGGAATAAGCAGCTGGCCTGGGCAAGGCCAAATCAGCCACACACATACGACCCCAAGTTCACCCTGGCCTTCTTTGAAACAACCAAT